ACTTGAAATTTCTACCTTCTCAAAAATCGAACGGACTAGTTTGATGCCTGCTCAGCAAGTCATGCTGTTCATAAGTACGGTGGGCGGAGCCACAATACCTCCTCGATTATCGAAGTTGTCGGGCAAATATTTTTTCCAGGAACTCATATGTCGTCACATCCACTGGTCGGGAAATTGTCATGGCCTAGGAAGATCGCCCCTGTCGCTTCTTTTTTTAAGATCAATTAGCAGTCGGTGCGTTTCCGGCATGAATGTGAATGAGTCGGCGGCGAATGTTTGGTTTGTAAATCTCCTGACGCCGGTTAACCAGAAGACTGTCAGTAAAGCTTTCCATGCGTTAGCAATACCTGGAGCGTCTAATATACGTACTGTCCTTGATGCATCAATCTTGGTTCTCATTGGATTAGTATTGTACCGGCCGATGCGATGCCATAGATTGTCATATCCTTGAGTTGATCGTTGCCAGTCGTTCTCGGATATCAACTGCATAAAGTGCTGTCGTGCGTAGCTGTTGATTGCAGCGCGGATTGCTCGAACTTTGTTGGGACGTGCGCTATCGAAGAAGCAAAGGGCCAAATACGCGATCATCTGTTCTCGATGGGGAACTGCAGAATCAATGCTGTTATCGGATGCGTATTTGTTCCAATAATTCATGGCCACTTGATAATTGCGCTGGGTACCTTCGGTTAGGCATCCGTTGGTCAGTTGCTGAATCACGGTATTGTAGTCTAGCTCTGCTCTTATTTCCTCTTCGGATTGCTGCCGGGCGGTTGGTATAGCACTGCGGCATACAGACGTGTCGGTGGGACGGAGAGCCCTAGTACTTGAGCAATGCTGTCTGGCTAATGTACTACCCCGTCGTCGAGGATTGTAAGGTCGAGGCCGTGTCTGACGATGTGCGGCCAACATATGGCTTTCCACCAAATTGGTATGATGATGACTGCTCGTTGTAGTCGACGGTCTAGCTCTTGTAGTATCTGGCCGAGCATGGTTTCCGGAGGTGCTAGCAGTTCGAGGGTTTGATCCCATTTGGGGTGAAAGGGGTTGGCAAAGCTGACGTGTGCTTGATGTGCCTTTCCCAAGTAGTAGCTGTCCGGATATCTTTGGTCGGCTGGGTTCTGTACTATCTGCCATTTGCAGAATAGTTGCAGAATGGCCTCTGACGTCACTGTCCAATGGTACTGCAGTAGTCGTCCCCCCCCCCCCCCCGCAAAAGCATATCTGCTGCGAGGTTTCATTGTCCTGACATGTAGCCCAGGGCTACAGGCCTTAGTACTTGGTTCTGGTGACAATACCAGACCAGTCGCCGGGGGTGTGCGTTCATCAATCGTGATTGGCTCCTGCGTTTTCGAAGAGCATGAAGAGCAGTCGTGGAGTCCGTCAGCCAGAGGAGTGAAGTCTTGCCAATGGAGTTGTGCTTGTCGAAGTACTCGGACGCCAGCACTAGTGCTTTTAGTTCGAGTACTGCTATTGGCCAGTGCTGCTCTGTCGGTATCCATGTCCATGTCTTCCAATTGAAGGATAAGGTTGCTCCGAAACCTATTTTCGATGCGTCGGATGTGATCGCCCCTTTGTGCTCTGAGAGCCAAATTGTTCGAGTTTGAAAAATCAAACAGAGTCCTAGCTAGGACTGACGCTTCTTAACAGTGTCATTTGTAGATTGTATTTCTTGTGCACAGATGTTAAATGCTGTGTTACCTTTGAACTGCTTAACGATCAATTGGGTAGAGAGTGGAATCTCTGATTCTTTGACCTTGTTAAGGAAGGTCTCAGAAAGGGTCCATTTGATTGTTCCAATGGGACCTATACGGTATATTATAGTA